TTGTTAATCCTAATTCCTGATACATAACTTTCAATCTCAAGCACGATACGAGAAGACTCACTGCTAATTTATAGCAGAGCAAATGGTGGCAAATACTTGATCAAAAACCTTTCTGTATTCTTCCATATTAAGGAGATTGGTAAGCAAAAGTTTTCCAACAGCCAAAGAAAGTAGAACAGGATTTAAGTAGATACAAAGATATTTGGTGATGATATTGTTCCTATGGCAGATTCCCATGTATTAAGAGGTTTCCTCTGCTTACCCTTACTGACAGTCAGGATAGCAACTGATATAAACACACAGCCAGTACTTACACAAATGAGGAATTTTATTCCGGACATTAAGAAGTTAAGAAATCAACTCTTAGCCTGTTTAATTTTCATCCCCCTGAAGTCTCTTTCCTTTACTTTCCCCTTGTGCTTTATTTTGGTTTATTCTTCCCCTCATCTCAATTATGGATACTGGAACATCTGTGAATTTTTCTCTGGTTGTCTTGCTGTTTAAGAAAACCTTTAACTCACAATGTACAATTGTCTAGCATCTGACTCTCCATAGTCGGAATAAAATCAGTCCTCTATGTCTTTCCACATTTTCACAAACCATACCAGGATTTTCCTCCAGGTTTCCTTCCCATCTGAGGGGCAGAATTTGTATTTGGCAGACTCCACTCTACTCCACATTAACCAGGTGATATCCAGCCTGAGCTGCAGCATCTGAAATAGCACACCTCATTTCTCTGCTCTTCCTGGCTCTTTTGATATCTACACTCAGACTTACAGATGGTACTATAGATGTCTTCTAGCATTTTCCCTTTTTCTGCCTACATACTGTGATCTTGGTTATGTGCTGAGTCAGCTGCTTTTCTTAAAAAAAAGAAAACATGATCTTGGCACACATCCATTATTTTCTTACAGGGAGGCACTTCAACCTGTCACCACTGGCTCAAGCATGCTGTAACACTCAGGACTCCAGTCACAGAAAGTCACTTGGGACTTGGGACCCAGTGTTTCGGTCGTTTTGGGAAAAATAGAGAAGAGGGAGTGATATGTATGCTGTTTTGTTCTCCAGAATAAAAGCCGGAATATAAATATAAGAAATGACCACATGCACTTACACAACACATATGTTTGCAGTATATACAGCACCAAACAATTTCTATGTATAAGTGTGAAACATCCAAAGAAATTTCATCTTGATTGATTTCTAGGGCCTACCTTTAAGGAGCTGGCAAAGGTCTAGTAACAATCATTTCATGGCATTAGTTTGTAGTGCTTGGTTTTTGAGCAGCCAGTATTAAACCTTCTGTTTCTTTCTTGATGGTCCCCATCTTAAGCCATGTCCATGTATGTTGTCATCACGTTTTCCTTCAATGTTTTTCAAGTGCTGTCCATGCAAAGCTTCAGTTTTCCATCTATTTAATCTGTCATCCAGCTGTTTTTCCTTATATTCTGCCTTTGTTTCTGTTGTTTTTATAATGTTCTCTGTTTTCACAGCCTGCAGCAATTTTTCTGTACTTTGGATCACATAATCATTCAAACTTTGTTTTTCTTCTTCTTCAGTTTGATGGATTTGCAATAGCCCTCTGCCCCCTATTTTTTCTGGCAGATACAACCTGTCGATGTCACTTTGTGGATGTAAAGCGTGGTACATATTCAAACGTTTGCGCCTTTTCTGGTCCAAGTTTTCCAGTTCAGCCAAAGTCCAGTTGATTCCAGCTGAGTAGTGTATCACTGGAACTGCCCATGTATTAATGACTTTAATTATGTTTCCAGCATTCAGCTTTGATTTTAATATTTTGCAGACCCTCCTGATGTATTCCTTTTGCATTGACTCTTTGACTTTTCCATTCAAGATGTTATCTGCTTCCAATATGCTTAGGTATTTGTAACTGCCATCCTTTGCTAATGCTTTCATGATGCTTCCATTCCCCAGTTCTATTCCTTCTATTTTTTCCATTTTTCCTCACTGCATGGATAATATAGCACATTTTTCAAGTCCAAAGTTCATTTTGATGTTGCTGCTGAACAGTTGAACTGTGTTGAGTATTGATTTAAGTTCAGTGGAGCTTTTCACATACATTTTAAAGTCATCCATGTATAGTAGATAGTTTATCTTGCCATGTTGGCGTGAGATGTGTATCCCAGTTTTGTGTCTTGTAGGTTTATTGTCAGTCAATTATTATTATTTCTTTTATTCATTAAACATGAAACTCAGTCAACTGAACATTCAAAAATGCATCACAAATACCATTGACTGGTACTGATGGTTGATACAGGTTGCTGCCAGCATCCTAGGTATAACCAAGTACCTTCTTAAAATATATGATGTTCCTAGTAGCTCAGTTTTTTGCAGTTCTGCTGGTGTTATTTCAGGAAGCTGCAATTTCTTTATGTGTTTTGTAAAATTCTTGGACATGGTACCGTGCCCTGCTACTCCCAGCCCAATTATCATCACTATATATTGGAAAACATCTGCCCAGACTACTGATTTTAAGCCACGCTAGTTGGAAACAACAGATATAACCTATAATAAAATATATGTTTTGCCTATATAAACATGCATATGAAATCTGATCTTTGCACAAACTACCCACTAAATATAAAAGTATTGGCATACTGTAGATCATGTATACATCCATTTGCCTTTAGAAAAGAAAATTTTAAAAAGGTGAGCTTTCTGAATACATTTTTTTCAATGAAGATTGTTCTGCGCATGTGCAGAACAGAAAACCAAGATGGCACCGCAGAGGATAGAACCAGTACGGTCATGTGTCTGCCGGAGTTACTACCTATTCAGCCAAACCAGACCGAATGGTAGGAACCCACCTCTGGTGAAGACGATGCTCTAAGGTTGTCCTCCCATGCAGAAAAGAAAAGAGGTGGGGAAGTGAAAGTGACGTATCAATTGCATAAAAAGCTATTAGGCAAAGAATATAATGGGATTTCTGACTTGAAATGCTGTTATCAATTGCTGAGCACTCAGCTGGGTTCTCTTTATATAATGTGATTTTCTACTGAGTTTACTTTTGGTCTGAAACCATTCCATGTTAAACCATGGCTCAGAAAGATAAACCTTGTTCTCATTGCATAAGCTAGAGGTGTATGAAAATATAAAGTTACCACCAGGTAAACATGCTATTGGTTGTAAATGGATTTTCAAAATTAAAAATATTCTAGATGGGACTGTAACCCATAAATCCAGGTTAGTTGCACAAGGGTTTGCTCAGTCAGCCAATGACTATGATGAGGTCTTTGCACCTAGTCTAAAGGCTACAACATTACGTGCATCATTAGTTGGGTTAGCAATATATAAATCATATAGCAATGCTATACCTGTTTCTTTAAATCATACTATAAAATGTGATTGGTTGCTGTTTTCCTCAATCGGCCATAAGAGGGAGCCAAAATGACTGTTAGCTCTCTGTTTGTTAGATGCTGGGCTGATCTGGAAGTGCCGTGAGCTACTGTAAGTTTTGCAACTGTAAGCAAACTTTTTGTACTGAACTGATTATATGATACAGGACTATGTTATTTGGATTATCCCTTAACTGAAAGACATTGATGACTGACTATCTTATCCGTGTATGACTTGGACTGTTTGATGGACTCTGATACTTCTATTTCCACGAAAGTAAAAGCCTATTTAAACTGCAGTGTCTCTGTATGCTGGTTTGTGTGTTCTCCAACACAACTCTCACAATGCTTCTCTGAACATTCTCGCTCTCCCAACGGGGAGCTTACCTAACAATACCAGAAGATGATCTCTATCAGGGCAATTATATAGAAAATGTTTTTATGCAAGTTATTAAATTTGGTAAGATTAAAGTCTAACAATCAAGGAAAGTCTTCAGCCAACCGAATGGGAGAATTTGTCTGAGAAATCATTGCTGGTAGATCTATTTGAAAGATATAAATTTAGTTGGCTAACTATAATAAATACAATCCCTTGTACTTTTGAATATTTAGATTGCTGGGTTGATATATGGGAAATTACAACTAGTTTGTAGGTATTGATGGAACTGAATAAAAAGTGTCTCATCGCTAACCCACACCAATGTTTTTAGGTTACCAGAAACTATTACATAAACAGAGGGATTATTAAGCATAAAGGTACTTTTGTATGCTTTAAGTTTGGCCCATAAACTGTTAAATTGGAACCTGTTTTTTGAGAAGTTAGAGTAGACATTGACCATTAGTAATAGATTATTACTAAATTTTAGCTGCACAAATGTTGAATAGTGCCCCACTGGGTCAAATTATAATGCTTGAACATAGGTCTGTATGCTTAGGTGTGGTTGAATCCCTAGCTAGAATAGAAAGGGGAGTAAAAAGGATGAGTAGCTTAGAGTTGCTTCATGGGAGGAAGAGGCCAGATTCCTGAAACTTTTATCTGCCTGTTCTCAATAGAATGCAGTTAGTCTAATAAAATTCTTGTAAACTACCACATAATCTATCTCATCCTGCTCTGGGAACTGCTGCAAACACCTATACATACTTATTAAAAAGCTGTTATTTAGCCAGGTTTCTTGAAGCTGAAATTCAGCAACATAATTCATGAAAGTCTGAAAGGGAAATACGTGGTTTTAAACTTTATATTCTAAAATTTAGGGTAGTAGATTATAAATCCTCTTTAATAGATTAAATTGGGTTCTTCAATATATATATTAAGACACTTGGCTATATCTGGATATTTTTAAAGACATTTTGGAGGAACCATCACAAACTGCTCAAAATAAAAAGCCATACTGTTGAGATTAATAGACAAGAGCAGGTGTTTTCTTCAACATAGTTTTATTTTCTAAGAAAAGACTTATTTCATAGAAAGGATCCTGCTCCCAAAATACCTTTAAATACATTATTCTGAAATTAATTAATTGATATTTTATAAACAGGTCATACCCAAGTAATTTTTATTCCAAATATATAGTGTTAAGAGATAAAACTTCTCTCTCTCTCAGCATCATTCCTTAAAAAAATATTCTTATTCTTCTGGTTAGCTCACAAACCATTCTTTATTATCTTTATATTATCTTTATTACATACACAGATAATCAGACTTCCAGATATTCACAACCATATGCCTCATTATTCTATCATACAAATATTATGTATTTCCAAGCTCTCATTGGCAACTTCAGTCATCACCTAAACTCCCTTTCCCAATTTTAGCCCCAAAGCTCCAATCTTTGACTTGTAGCACTTTTTTCTTCTTCAGTGTTCTGAGTCCATGTAGTTGTGAGATCTATTCTTTGGCAAAGAAAAGGAGGATGGTAGCTTTGCTGCTTTCCAGTTTTTTAAAAAAAAAGTTTTAAAAGTTTTTAAGGTTTTAAATAAAAAGGCACAGCCAACTTGAGAAGCACCAAGAAGTTTGGGATTGCAATAAAAATATTTCTCTTTTAATATAAAAGGACTTATTTCTGAGTAAACTTGTAGGATTACATTCTGATCTCTATTGAATAATTCACACTGGACCATCTCTCACAAATTTGCATCAGGATGCAAAATCAATTGAAAGAATTGCAGGATTATGTTTTTAGTTTTAACCTGATAACATAAGCCCTCTTATTGCACTGTGATAGATGCTGTAAGGAAATCATTTGAAATATTGAAGTTTATACGTAACCATTAATATACCTAGCCTTTCTGTGATTTTAGTACCCTGCTCATAAAGGATCCAGGAGAATAAAGTTCCACATGAGATCTACACATGGGCAATTATCCATGTTAACATACAAAAATCAGGGCATGAAGAAATGTGTAACATTCTGGGTGATGCTAAAGACAAATAAATGAAGCTTTTGGAAAATAAAACATGGCAATGCAATTGTATGTATCTTTTTCCTCAGAAGTAAAGTCTCATTGAGTTATTTGATCTTACTCCCAAATACACAGATTATAGCCAACAGCCAATGAAATAAAAAAAAATCATAACATAGTTTTCATTTTGCACACAATAATGTGACAGGTATTAATTTCCAAAATGAGCTTCACATATCTTCTGAAATCGGAATGTTAGATCTATTACTGTTTCCATATTTTTGCAGTTACTTTTTTTTAGAATAGAATAGAATTCTTTATTGGCCAAGTGTGATTGGACACACAAGGAATTTGTCTATGGTGCATATGCTCTCATTGTACATAAAAAAACAAGTTACTTTTTGCATAATGTATTCTTTAACAATGTCCCAACCAATATGGAATGAAGTTAAAATATGGGTTCAGGTTAAGATGAAATTTCTAATATATTCTCATGAGCAAAACTTAGTTGTATTCCATGTTAATACATTTGAAATAGCTGCCAACTTTAGCAAAGTATCCAGCATCTTCACTAATAAGTATCATTTCAGGTTTTACTGTCTGACATCATTTCAATATGATTGAAGGCTGGATTGTCAGTTCCTTCATTGTATGGTGGGCAGTCCAAAACTCTTTTATCTTCCTAGAAAATAAAATATATGTTTAGAATAAATGTAATAAGGAACAATATATATAATAATAAATATAACAGCTCATTAAATAGATGTGATTTTGCTTAGTGACAAAATAATAGTAATATTGGTTCCAGGCAAATTATCCTTGGGGAGAGGTTCCTGATGGAGAAAAAACTTATAGCTATCTGGGTATCAAACCATGCAGGGATTTAAGGATTAATAGCATGACACTGAATTGGGCTCAAGAAGGTACCAATTATTAATAAAGTTCTTTGTAATTTCAAATCCTTCAATAATTCTTAATAAGTTATTGCAGTTTATTTATTATATCCCCCCTTTTATTTTTATATAAATAATTCAATGCAGTGAACATACCCTTGCCTTCTTCTATTTTCTCCACAACAACAACATTATGAGATAGGTTGGGTAGTCCAGCTAGCTTTCATGCCTAAAATAGGACTAGAAATCACCATCTCATGAATTCTAAGCCAGCACCTACACCCACTAGACCAAACTGGTGGTCTTTATATTACAAAACTACTTAGTTCCTCAATGGTACTTAAAAATGATCACAACTTATGAATAAACAGTTTGGTTTAATGGTTAAGGCACCAGGCTAGAAAGTGGAATGACATGAGTTCTCATCCTGCCTTCGTTGTGAAAGACAGTTGGGTGATCTTGGGCTAATCAGTCCCTCTCAGCTCAACTCACATCACAGAGTTGTTGCTGTGGGGATAATAGCAGGAGAAAAGTGTGTTTGTTTCCATTGAATTATTTGTAAAAAAATTAATGAAGGCAGGATACAAGTAAATAAGAAAATAAAATGAGGTGCTCATGAGAGTTTATATTTATTCATAAACAAAACAGAATTTAAAAATAATGTAGAGTTTTGGAGATTTGTGCTTATTATTGCTTAATAATCCCCTGAGTGATTAGATACAGTTTTGAGAAGGTTCCAGAATTCTTCTTAAATGCCCAAGTCACAGTGGTAGCCCAGGATAGGATTTACCTGCTTGGATCAATACATTAGCTGCACGACTAGTAGAAAACAATATTTGATCATGTCATTCATTGACAATTGCAGGATTAGATTATTGCAATGTGTATTTATTCTATCTAATGTCTGTAAAAACAGTCTGTTATTTCAGCTATTTAACATATCTGTTTATCTGCTGCCAAATGTAAATAAGACAAATGGAATATCCTCATAGGCTTTCAATTTCTGCATTGAAACCAAATTTTTATACCAACAAAAACTCTAAATTCTAAATATCTCAAAAATAGGCCTTACTTCTTGGTTATTACCAAATTGGTGGGGAGATGGAAGTAGGTGGCATGGGTTTCTGTGCTATGGATTTTTAGGCAGCTCAGAGTCACTCTATGTGAATTGGGGCAGCCATATAAATTTGTTCAATAAATAAATACATTTCAAATAAATTTTGAAACAGGTTCCTAATTGAGGTATGATAAACTGAAAGCTAGTATCTTAAATACAAAACCCCAATCTCCAACCCTACCCTTTTCTTTGGAACACCATCCTCTTGGAACTTTAGAAGGGAGAAGATTTCCAAAGGGAACGGAAAAGTCTTTCCTTGATTAAAGGTATGTGTAAACAATTCCCTCACTAATGTTAGCCTTCAGATAGAAATACTAGATTTTTCACATAGTTAATAAAAGATAACCAACAAAGAAATGGTATTTAATAATATAATTGCAAATTATTTCAGCTTTTCAGAATCAATTTTATTGTAAATAATTTTTTATAAGTTAATCAAGAGTTTCATTTTTAAGATATAGTGCCTAAAAAGGGTTGTTTCTGACTTTCAAAAGACAATGTTATAAAGAAGAGTTTTGTTTGTAAAAGAAAGCTCTCTGCAAAAGCCTCTATAGCCTAACTCATGGAGCCAGGCTTTGATCATCTAACATTTTGACTAACTGTGGGTCCCCTGAGTGGAATAATTTCTGGGATGGCTTTTTAATGCTCGTATATAGCAGAGGATGTAATAAAAATTTCCACTTGCCAGAATTTTCCATCCAGGTAGGAGTATTAATATCTGGAAAATGATGGGTATGATGTCAAAAATCAAAGCGCTGCCATTTTTGTACTTGCATGCAATGTCAATGCATGTACAAAAGAGGTAGAGTTTAGATTATGATACCATACCTTCCATTTTGCAGATTTTGACCTTCCTCCTTGGACATCACTATCGCAGAAGAATCTGATATATATCTTCTGTTATATCCTCAGTGTCTTCAGCTTTATAACAAAAGCTAGTTAAGAATTAGGTACTTTTAAAATCCAGAACTTCTTCAATACTGATTTTTTTCTTTTATGTAATAATATTTCATAGCCAGAAAAGTATAACTTAATGATCAAATTTACTTTCACACATTATAAACTTATATAAAATATACTATTTATATCAGGGGTGGATTGCTATTGGCATTACTGCTGGTTCGGTGTGCAAAAAATGAAATCTTTTCTATGATGAGATTAAAGTACATAGGGCTGTTCAAAAAAATTGTGAACAATATCATCTATAATATGTATATTCCTATCAGAGATGGGCTTCAAAATTTTTAGCAAGGGGTTCTCTGGGTGGGCATGGCCATGGTGGACATAGCCTAGGTGGCCTTCTGCACCATGGCTGGGGGGGGGGGTTCCTCGAGCCTCCAGGAGGGTGAAAATGGCTTCCCCAGGCCCCAGAGGCCCTCTGGAGGCAGAAACAGGCCCGTTTCTGGCCTTCCTAAACTTCCGGTAGGCCTGTTTTTTGCAATCCCTGAACCTCTGTGCTCACCCTGCACTTATCTGTATCCAAAATGGGCCGCATGAAGACTTCTGGGAAAGGTGGAGTGGAGTGGGCAGCACCAGCCAGGAGTGTGATTTGGGGGTTCTCCAAACTGCACAGAATCTTAGCTAGGGGTTCTCCTGAATCCCTGCGAACCCTCAGCAGCCCACCCCTGATTCCTCAATGTCATTCTGACAGTGGCCAATTATTTATCCAGATAACAGCCAAGAGTAATATTAATAGATTAAATATTGAGGGCAAAAAGAACTGATAACAGCAAAACCACATCATAGAAATAAGTCATAATAATTTTGACCTCTGAAATGGAGTGTACTTGGATCTATCTTTGAAGATAATATGAAAACTTAATTTAATAAATATGATTATTATCTGACTAATTAGGGGACAAATCTATCCAATTATGTGATTGGAGTGTGTCAACCGGTGTACTGTTTCTGTGCTCACTGATTTGTTCTAAGCACTTCAAGCACTAAATGGATTGAAGTTGGACTATCTAATAAATTCCTCTTCTTATATAGTGTATACCCCTCTGTAATTTTTTTTTGTTTCTTTGCAATCCTTATCTGTCTGAAGTCAAATAAAATAATGTATACATACTTGTTTTAATTTACGAAATAAGAAATTACAAAAAAGATCCTCTTTGCTGAGTAAGAATTTTTTGTCCACCTTCTGCTTACGTCCTCCTGAAAAACATTTATGTGGTTAGTTAAAATACATTCACACACAGTTTAGAATCTTTATAGTTAAATTATTATTTGTGCAAAACAGTAACACTAGTATTAACATGAGATAGTATGAGATGGCATGAGGTGGTGTGTAATCACTTTTTAATTTTTCTAACTTGTTTTTACTTCTGTTTTTAATTTTGTTTTTGCTTATGTCTTTTTATATGGTTGTATGACTTCATTTGTAGACTGCCCAGAATCACTTCAGAGAGATGATTTTTATGTAAATTTGATAAATAAATAATGTTTCTTGAATTGTATAGTTTATTTATTCATTATTACAAATCTGTATCCTACCTATTTACTTCAATTAAACATATCCAAGTTGAGTTAAATCAATAAATCTATAAAGACATCAAGTTAATAAGAAACTTCATATAAAATAGTGCAAACATATGACAAAAGGTCATGCTTTTTGATATAGAAGAATCATGCGAACTGGGATGTTTAGATGTTTATTTATTTATTTATATGTTTTTAAAATCCTACCTTTATTATTTTTATAAATAATTCAAAGTGGTGAACATATCTAATGCTCCTTCCTCCTCCTATTTTCCCCACAACAATAATCCTGTGAGGTAGGATGAGCAGAGGGAGAGAAATAGAAAGAGACAGACAGACAGACAGAGACTGGCCAAAGTCTATCAGACACTTCCTAAATCAATCTTCTCCAACCTATGTTACACCACAACCAGACTAGAAATTCTAGGAATAGTCTGTAACACACAAAAGGTGACAGGTTGGAAAAGACTCCTCCACATAATCTAAAAAAGCAGGAATTTTCAGGACAACAATCATTTTTTAGATGTTCTAGCCCTAAATTGTTTAAAGATGTAAAAATAACAAATTCAAACTGTGGCAGGAAATGAACACAATTTACAACACAGTATATTTTTATGCATCCATCACTCATCTGAATCAGATGTTATTCAAGCAGCCTCCATGTGGGAGAGAGACTGACTGAGCCAGGAAGAAGAGTCAAGCAGAGAATACCCCCCTCCAGCCGTGTCGCACTCCTGGGCCTTAAGCTGTTTGGAACTGGGTTGTAGAGGTGGTGAGCAAGTGCAGGCATGCATTCCCCACTTTCACAGAACCATCCCCTCTCCCCCATGCTGGTCAGCAAAATTAGAGAAGTTGGGGAAGTCTATCCTGGTGGACACAAGAGGATGAAGTCCGACCTTCCTTGAATACTATTAAACCTTATCCACTTTCACTCAGATGCAAACCATCAGTCAGAAAATTCCAGTGTATAGGCTGTGTATAGTAATAAAACAGTTAGTTGAATTCGTCAGTTGTGGGTCTGGTGGTTTATTCCTGACACTCCTCTAAGATACATAACAATTGTATTTTGATAAGATGTTTGTGTTCTGTAATATTCATAAGTGCTCATGCCAATGAAACCATTTTTCATGCATCTGAAGTAAACTTGATTTTTTTCAAACTGATTTGAATCTGCAAACAACTAGGCAAGGTTGTCTGAAAATTCAAATCAGGTTGATAAATTCAGACAGCTAAATAAATTACAACTTAAAATAAAATGAAGATTTGTCATGTACCAAATTATTTGTTTAATTGTATATTAAGCTGGACACACTTTAAAAAAGATTTAGAAGTGCTCATGTGAGCTTGTATAAGCATTTCTCAGGTAAGTTTAGCATCTTTGTGCTGAAGCAGTCTGAGTTCCTGGCTTTCAAACAAGATTGTAAAAGAAATTATTGTGTAATAAGAAATCCTATTATTCTAAATCAATGTATATTATTGTAATGAATGAGATACTTTATTTGCCCAGGCTCTGAATTATGGACAAATGTTTATTATAGAAGAAGGGGGAAATGTAAATTAAAATTTCAAAGTTTAAAAGATTAATATTATAAATAAACCAAAATTTAAAACTCAATTCCCAATAGATATTTAATTTTTGGATTCTAAAAATCCAGGTATCAATGCAATTTCAAATCAGAAACCTAATCCTTACATCTTGACATTATAAAGTTAGATATGATTTTATGCCGAGCAGGGTTTGCATTATGTTCTTCTGGAAATAAATTTACACTTCAATAAAAGCAAAAATAGAGGAATCATTAATTACCTGTCAAAAGGGCAATGACTATTCCCACACCAATTGTAATCAGAGTTCCAACTGGGCTTAAATAAAGATAGGATAAGGAATACAAAGAATTTGCCAGGATGGGTCTAGAGGGGAAAATATAGAATTTATTGATGTATTTCCACAATTCATATGAAATCTCACAATGACAATGTTATATTAAATGTAAATATTTAAAACAGTTTAGAAAAGCAGTATTGCAGTCACAATTAGAGGCTATTGCTGTCTTCATTCACAGAAAGAAAATGGTCTTGTGCCCGCAACAGTATTGTTGTATGCACAAGGCAGGCAGACCTTTATTGCAACAGCACAAAGTTCCTTTTGTCATTCTGCTTGACTTTGGCCACTTTTGTGCACACTGTTGATTACAGTCACATATTACTCAAAAGTGAGTCTAGACTTTCAAGCTAAGAGAAAACTAAAGCAAAGTAGGTGCTTTTCTTCTCTGTATGAAGATGATACACTGATTAAAAGCAGTCACAATAAAAACATAATCCCAGATTTGTTCTGATTATATCTACCATAACCCAAAAAGTATTTTCAGGTCTTTAGAATATGATGTTTCTCTGCAAGAGACACACTATGGTGGCCAGGTTTACTTAACATATTAAACTATCATTAGTTTATTTAATATTGATTATGTGCAATATACTCAGTCATAGCAATGTGGCAATCATAGTTAATGACAAATATATAACATAACATAAGCAATTGTGGCTTAATTAGTGAATCATAATTAAACAAATAACGGTTTAACACAATCTGTGAACCCATCCTAACAGATATATCAATTGTTCGGTAACACTTAAAATTATGGGATTTTGCCAATTTCCTTTTGAATTTAAATGTACATTTCCATTAAAAAAATGTATATTATATGTATAAAATCACTAGCAGAAGCAAGTTAACATCATTGGATAAATCAATAGCAATGGAAATGAACAATTATCCCTTTCTCTGCATGTGATCTGCAAAGTATTAATGTATCCTGTAAATGTGAACAGAAAAATGTATACTATAAAAGACTTACTGTGCCTGGCATAATTAAGTGTTACATATTAAGTGGATGGTTAATAAATTTGGCATATACCTCTCACTATTTTTAATTGTGAGCTGATCAATGGAATCCATTGCATAAACATCTGTGCTTAGGTTGGCTATGTTACAGCCTATAATTGTACGATTTAATGGCAGGGTCCTAAATGGCAGTGGCTTATAAATATGAGATCCAATTCCAATCCAAAGGGTAATAATAAATCCAGAGACGAGACCTATAAAAGCACCCTATAAAACAAGAAATAAAATGTGATCACATTTAAAAGAAAAGTAGAAGCAAAAGAAATAAATCCCACCGTAATTTCTGAACAATGTACTTTTAGTAATGTAACAGATGTCACATTAGTTATTTAGGATTGCATATACTACTTTCCTTAAAAAAAGCAGCCATAGAACTTTTTAATATCATTTAGAACTTCAGAAAGAGAAGGATCTCCAAGTCATCCTGTTGATATTATTTCTGAAACAAACATTTTGCCCCTACAGTATACCAAAACTAAAGAAAGGTAAGGTTCACCAAAATGCTTACAATTCACTATGGTTTGAATTGATACATTTAATAGCTTCAAATACATTTGATTAATTATTATTTTTTTTTTGCAAGGAGGCTGAGGAATGTCTTGAATCAGAAGATGGGGCAGCAATTAAATAAATAGTTCTATAAACAGAAAAGTTTCTTACCAGAGCGTTGACAAATGGAAAAAGAATTCCCAAGGAAAAGAGTCCTAGGAGAGGCCCACCAATCATGCCAAAAATGGTCAATGCTGCCTAAGGAAACAAGAGGGGTTCAGTGAGAATTTAGCTATAGTTTTGAATGTATTCAAATTTCAAAAGACTATGAACCTGTTCACAAGTGGCAGTAAAATTTCTTTCTGTGTCTAATACAGTATGATATGGGAAGCTGCCCAAATGGTGAGTGAACAATGGAAAGTGAAAAAAAGTTATACATTTGAAAGATTAAAATTTACAAACAGTGCTAAATAGCTTCATTTTCATTTAAACGTGTTAAAATGAAAAGAGAATATTTAATTTTGTAATACACTTATCCATTTCTACTGGAAAAATATTCCGAACCAAAATAGTGGTTATTTATTAGAACATTCTCTAATTGAAGTCTTGCAGATATGTTGGGATTCAGAATGTTCAGCAAGCATTAACATTAACAAATATTAACAAATATACTGTAGGTAGGCATTTAGGAAACTGTGATCCTCTCCAGCATATGTGTAGAACACCACATAGGCAATAGTACATGAATTTACAGATAGGAAACACTATATATTAAGATACTGCTCAATTAGTAATAGGAAAGGGTGTTGAGACAATATAGTTAATCCTTTCCCTGAAAACCATTTCCCCTCTTCAAGTTGCCCATGCTGAATTGGTTGGGTTCTGATTTTTCAAATTAGAGACAAATATAATTGAAAGGAACATGTCTTGGAAAGTAGAAATGACCTGTGAGGAAATTATTCCCTTCCTTTATATTTTCTCTGCCATCATTTGCCCCACCTTAAAATAGCTTTTAAAACAATAAATGCACATAAACATGGACTGACACAAACAAAGGAAAAGGAAAGAAGAAAGAAAAGCAAACCATTTTATGCTGACTTTTAGTTGATTTTTACTGACTTTTAAATGTCTTATTGACACATCACATGTTTGTAGTGCACTCTTATACTGCACTTATCCTGTGCTCATGTTGAATCAATTCACTGCAGGATGAAAGCCCCTTCATTGAAGGTTATGGACTGCACTAGCTTACACAATTGAGGTTTACTCAATGCTAATACTACAATCAAAGAAAGTCCAAAGTATAAAAAAGAAAATTGAAAGGAATAAGGGTTGCTTTGTTTTCCAGAGAGTTTTCTTGACAAAGAAATTATTAAAGATACCTGTAATAATGCTCCTAGCTTTGATGCCACAACAGCCATAACAACGCACACAGCACCATAAAATAAACCTATGTGAATGATGCACACAAAGAGATCAAATAACAAGGTTTTTTTTATTTATTAGCAGTAAACAAGTCAGGTTGTTCTTTGTCAATAATAATCATAACAACAACAACAACAGTAACAATGTCAAATCCAGTCTAAACATCTGGCTGACTGTGCAACTAATCATAATAATATGCTTTTTTCACCATACAGACTTTTTCTGTAAGCATCTAGCCATTTAGCTTATATATAAAATGCTACAAAATAATAATTAATATATTTTAAAAATAGTAATTGTACATTTTAATATTTAAAAACAAATAAAACACTATCCTTCTTAAGATAATTTAAATTTAAAATAAATATTAATATATACTTACTCATGCACATAGAAATCCAAGACAATTTAAGTTCAGTTAATGTGAAATAAGGTTTAATGAGGTCCTCCACTGTCACAGCAGCTAAAGCATTGACGCTAGAGGACACTGTACTAAGGCAGGTAAAACAGAGTTCATGTAATTTCATATCAATTTAAAGGTGAATTTTATTTGCAATCAAATAGTTACTATAGTGTTTATTATTTCTGTTAAAATTAAGCAGCTGAATAATTACAATAATTAAAAGACATTAGTTTTTCAACTAGTTTTATCTATTACTTTGAAAAAAAGCCATAATTTAAACAGTCTCCATTCTGTTCAAAAACGTTCCTAATAAAACCTTAAATAAACCAGTCTATATAATAAAGAAATTATTGGCTTATTATAATATATGTTATAATAAACTATGATTAGTATATAACACAATGGATTCGTGGCTTATGCTAAAAAAAGCACATTTTGGTTTAGCATAATATACCAATCCAGTGACTTTCATTTCTCTGTAAAATTTTCCTAAATTCACTTTTCTTTTTATTTACTAATATTATTGTTACTAAAAGTTGTTCGTTAAATTATTTTAAGTCAAAGGGCAACAGTATTCCCATAAAATACGGCTACACATTCAAAGTAACATACTAATAAAATATGTGCCCTCAGCTCATATTTAGATTAAATGATATCACTTAAAATGTATAAACATGAAGCTGTGCAGAACTGGGATGAGCTGCTGTATAGATAACTTTAAGGGGAAAATATATACCATACCTCTGGAAATCCCATTAAAGTACAACCACACATCTTTCTTGAGAACTAAGTCTCCTTGAATTTAATGGGTATACCATTTGCGTTTGTTATAAGGTTGCTATTGTCATTTGATTCTATTGAAACATCCCCACTTCTCTGCCTATTGAATTTTGAATTAACTTACCTTAAAGTTCCACTATAAGCACAAGCAACAAAAAGGCCTATCATTCCTGGAAACTCGTTGAAAAGTTCCAATACCAGATAAGGCATGAGCTGAAATATGCAAATATAACATATATTTTATATTTATTTTTATGTGGTTTTTTCTCTTATATTCTTCTGCCTCCCTTACAATAAAAGATAAATACTTTTACATGATAAAAACATATGTAAAATAATCTCTCAAATTGCTTTTTTTCAAGAAAGATACATTCATGGTTCAAAATCGGCATAAAAATACAACATTAATTTAATTCCTCAAATATGCATGGTGTCCTTTGAGAGACATTATCCAAAAATGTAATGTTATTAATTCCTTAATTGTTTCCTTCAAAAGAGGTTTCTCATAATTGTTGCTAGTAATTCACTGTAATCAAATCAAATCCCAATAGCAAACTGAAAATGACGGCCCTGATGTTTATTTAGCATTGATTAAGAATGTTTTAATACTAAACCTGGTCTGATGCTCCCACACACTTTGCTTTCAATGGGTCACAGTCCTTAAAAACAGAGTACATTACTAATCCACATAATACTGCACATGCAAGAATTAACCAGAGTCCCACGAGGTTTAAATAAAGAGATCTATGAGAAAACAAACAAGAGGATTTTTTTTACTTTGTAAATATTATAATTTTGTAGCATTATATAAGTGCACTTTGCATTATATTGTACCTGTGTTCATTTCCTTTTTGGCAGGAAAAGAAAAAGTCTTTGTTAGATAGGAATGTACTAGTTTCTTTGGCTTAAAAAGTTATGCAAATATTCCAACAAAGGTAAATAGTTACATACATGTAAAAATCACTATCTGACTTGCCAGGATTTCAGGAGATTTTTCCCACATGAATTAAAACAAATCTTCCTGGTGTTTAATTATTTTTATAAGGATTTAAAACATGGTAATATTCTTATTATTGTAAATATACCCCAAGAATAAGATGTCACAAAAATATGGAGACAAATAAATGAATAATATGCATCATATTGGACAGAACAAGGTATTATTTGGGGCTGCCTTTAGGTCAGTTTGAAAATTTAAAATACAGTTGCTAAGTAGTAAGAGATATATAATCTGTGAGAACTAATTTCCAAACAGCATGAAACTGCTACTCTTTTTTAATTGTTACCCTGTCAGCAAGTACCTTGAACAGCAAAATTAGCTCTTTGCTTAAAACACAGATTGGATAGGATCGTTAATTTCCAATGTTTATGTCAATAGTTAATTATGCCCTTCATGATGGTTATTCTTTACACATACATAAATGGGTAATAAATCAGACAGAGTTTACAAAATCAAAGTTCCATGCCTGTTTGAGATTTTAATAATGGTAATAAATAATTTGATTATTGATTATTATAGTTGTGGTTTATATCCTTCAACAGAATGCTAAAGTCGTTGTTACTAAAGCTTTGCATTTAAAAAAGGCTATAATACATAACTACATTATAAGTATTCAGGTTGTATCATTATTGGACACTGATGTTGAGAATGCAGTTTAAATGAAAACCCTTGAGCAAACAAATAAAATATGTTAACTTACAATTTTGCTTGAAATCGGGATTTGCAGGAAAGATATCGCTGAACTTGAGACTGATTGACTGCATATATACCAAGCCAGGTATAAGTCCCACCTATAACAATTGTCCAGAATGTATGCCTTTGCAAAGGATTAGGATTGAAGCTACATTGAATAAAAATGTATTTTATAGTATTAGCTAACTGTTCATATGTCTATTAAACACGACTTTTTTTCTTTCAATGAATATTTATCAAGCTTAATTTGAAAACATATTAAAAAATTCTAAATATTAAGTAGAAGTACTGAGAGCATGGAACACATTTTAAAAACTTATTCTACAGAGATAGTTCTCCAGATACAAAAGGTCAATTAACGAATGTTCAAAGTTACAACAGATACCCTCAAGCCACATATGACTCTGTTTTAAAGTTATAATGGCTCCAGTGCCCACCTGGCCATTCAGCCTTATAACTCAATATGGGAGTGCTGTAGCATCTCCCCACCTGTCTCCCTTCCCTCCCTCCTACCCTGACATGACCCTGAAGCACATGGGCCTGCTCCCCATGCCTCCTAGAAGCAGCTGGCATTTTCACAGCTCCGACAAGTCTTTGCAGAAAATGGCAGCTGCCTTTGAAGCTTTCTGCCCTGGTCAGCTGGCCATTGGGAGATTGCAAACTTCTCCTGGCATTTGTTAGTCTTTGGGTAACCAGACCCTACTGCACCATAGAGAGTATTTTAACATACTGCACCTGTGTATGTTTTGCCAATTGCACAGTGGCAGTTAGGACCGCGCTCCAGAGAGTTAACATCATTGCCCAGAGGATCATTGGTTGCCCTCTCACCTCTTTGGAAGAGCTTTATAGCTCCCATTGTCTTAAGAAAGTTCAAAACATTCTTAAAGATCCATCTCATCCTGGTTACCCTTTTTTTGAACTATTACCATCTGGCAGACGGTACAGGATAATAAAAACAAGGACAAATAGGCTTATATCCCAGGACAGTAACCATATTGAATTCTACTGAATAGAATTGCAATATTAATGCAATATCAGGAGTTTTCAATTCAATTGCATAGAATGTGAAGGGGAGGGTGTTTGTGTTTTATTTTTATAGTTATAATGTACATTGAAGATGGCATTTAATTTCGTTGTACGAGGTGCAATGACAATAAACAACTAGTAAAGTAGTAGTAGCAGCTTTAGACCGAGCTTCCGACAACCTTTTCCTTACTTTAACCCCTCTCTCCTCCAAAAAGGGTGTTCCTCTCCTCTCCTTCATTTTTTCAATAAATAAAGCTAAAAAAAAAGCTGGGAGGGACAAAGTTGTTAATCTTTCTCCCCTCGTCCTGGTGATAAAATTAAACTCTTCTGCCTTCCAATTTCTATCCATTTTAAAAAAGCTAACTTTGATTCCAGGCTGAAGAGTAGAGGAAAGAAACCAAGCAGGCAAAGAAACTCTTTCTGCAGCTTTTTGCCTTGAGAAAAAATATTCAGCTCAGAAAGTTGAGCATCTGTATTAAAATGAGACAGAAGCGAGATCCTTACAAAACTTTCAGCTGTTTGTCTGATTGCTTGTAAGACCCAGCTAAGACTCTAAGAGTTTATTTGCTTGCTTGCTTGCTTTCCTCTATTCTTCAGAGTCTGATTTCCTAAGGCTAGAAAAAGCCAGGTGAAATCTGCAGTCTCCTGATAGCCAGCTGATGGGTAGACAGCTGATGAGGCAGAAAACTCTGAAAGGTTAGGGAACCAGTCTTTTTCCTCCAGAAAGGCAGGGGCATCTTGTCAGGAGGAAGGGCAGGGGCGGATTAGCACTGACAATTCTTGGTGCCCCTCCTTTGTACATACTGCACAAATCTTTATTGGTTTATTTTTTTTCTTTCTCAACTTTGTGGTGCCCCCTTTGGGCCTGGCACCCTAAGCACGTGCTTAGTCTGCTTAATGGTTAATACACCACTGGGCAGAACCAGGAAAGGCAGGCATGTCCAACATTTTTCTTCTCCATTGTTTTTCGCTGATAGGACAGTTAATTGTGTAACAAGGCAAGAGTGGGAGCCTCTCAAGGGGCAAAAGCAGAGTATGGGATATCTCGGGGGTGGGTGGGGTGGGAGGGACTTGGGAGTCCCAAGGCAGGTGGGCTTGTCTCTGCACTAGGCCTCCCAAGATCTGCCCCATCCCCGAGGCACCCCTTGCTTCACTTAATGACTCACATATTTGATTAATGAATACCTTGGGTAGAGCAGGGATGGTTGGTCATTACTTGAGGCAGGTCATTTAATATTTATTCCAACCTCCGACCCTAATGGGCAAGCTTCATTACAGTCATAATAATTACATCATTAATAATTTTGGCATTGAAATGCAAATATTTCTTAGGAATAAATTCTACAATTGTATTGAAAACTATTTAAGCTCATGCAAAATTGGACACCCAATCTGCTATTTTCCTATCTTTTGTGGCCTATTATAGTCTTTTTTATGATATACCTGTACTATTTTGGATTCTTCCAACAAACCAAATCATATGGTAGACACATATTACAATAGGTAGGTAAGTTTTTACCTTATGAAAGTCTTTTTAACTTGTACCTACTTTCTCTCTCTCTCTCTCTCTTGCTGTCTCTCTCTCTCTCTTTTGTCTCTCTCTCATTATTTATTTATTTGACTTATATCCCACCTTCCCATCAAATCTACAATTTACTTGGAGATCTCTTTTTATTTTATTTCCTCCATTACAACTATGAACAGTTTGAGCAGAGAAAATGTGAGTAATTCAATGTCACACATTGATTTTTCATGAATGAGACCTTCCTGGTCCTAATCCAGTAACTTAAGCATTCTGATCAGTAGATATAGAATCAGCCTTATTCTATATCTATTACTGGAAAATATCATTTGTTTGATATAACAAATAATATACTGTATATTTGAAGGTTTCTTCTCCAGCTCAAATAAATTAAGTACTTACTCCCAGAAATCTAATCTTTTTCCATGAGAGGTATCATTTATTATATTTCCAAACCCATGTTGTACTATCGCACCACGTATAATCACAGATAAAAATCCAGCAATCATGATTCCAGCTTGAAAAACATCTGTCCAAATCACTGCTTTTAGTCCACCCTGGATGGATAAGAAAAAACATAGATTAAAATACAAGGCAACTAACTAATATTAAAAGGAATATAATACTCATATTGGAGTCTAAGACATTCAATGCATTTCTTAGCCAAGCCATACAAATATCTTTGCATAATGCAGATTACAGGTGGTCCTTGACTTACATTTAGTGACTGTTCAAAGTTACAAAGGCACCAGAAAAGTGACTTATAACTGTTTTTCACATTTACAACTGTTGCAGGAACCCAATGATAACATGATTAAAATTCGGATACTTGGTAACTGTTCGTATTTATAACGGTTGCAGTGTCCTGAGCTCATGTGAACATCTTTTACAAACTTCTGACAAGCAAAATCAATGAGAAAGTCAGATTCACTTAACAACTGTGTTGTTAACTTAACAACTGCAGTGATTCGCTTAACAATTGCTGCAAAAAGGTCATAAAATGGAGCAAAGTTCACTTAACAAACATCTCATTTAACAACAGAAATGTTGGGCTCAATTGTGGTCGTTAGTTGAGGACTATCTGTACTTAAAATAACAGAAGTAAATATAATGAATTTGTTCAATTAAGTGTTTAAGCTTTGCAGTTGTAGCAATTTTCAAAATAATTGCAGACCTACCAGTGTGCAATAGAAAGTACAGACTACTCCTGTTCCAACAACTGCACCCCATAAATGAATTCCTGTAACTAGAGGAGAAAAAGTACAAAATATTTTTTTAAATTAAAATAGCAGGAAATGGTTAATCCAAAGCATATTCAACTTAATTTTAAAAATTAACTAATATGGGATTCCAATATGTTCTTAAATACACAACTCTCCTGGAATAATGCAGATAATTTAAATCAGCAAACAAAGGTAAAACTGAACTAAAGAGTGAATCTAATCATTTTCTTGTTGAAGGATTGATTAAAAATATATGTATATACATATTTATTATATATGTATTATTGAAGGCTATTATAAAAATAATGTAGAATATAAATATTTAGGTTTTTGTGAAAATAAGAATGAAAATCATTATAACAGAAATGTGCATTGTATTGCAAATATCACACACAAGATTAATTGTGAATTGATCACATTTTTAAAAGAATTAATTATACAGGTAGTCTCAATGTACAAACATTCATTTAGTGGACTGTTCAAAGTTAAATGGCATTGAAAAAAAATGATTTATGAACATTTTTCATACGACTGTTGTAACAGTTACCTTGATATAAAGCTAAGGCTGGAGCATAAATGACAATTCCAGTGTAAAGTATCTGAAAAATAAACAAACAACACAAACTGTTCATCTTGGCCTTCCAAGAACTCTTTAGAAACAGTACAATACTGAATTGCATGGTGAATTAAATTCAAACAATATAAGACATACATGTTGATAAAAGTGATAGGTTTCAATAGTGTTTACACAAAATACCAATAAAATAAGAATAGTTTTCATCTTTAGGATAAAAAAATAAGAAGCTATCATAATCATGAAAAAATGCAGAACATTATTGTCTGGAACATTACTGCAGGCAAAGTAACAGTAACAGTAATTACTTATAAGCCACTCAGAGTCACTTATTACAGTGAGATGAGTGGCCTATAAATTTGATCAATTAAATAAAGAAACAAGAAACAAGTTATTCTAAGAACATCGTTGAGTTCATGAACAACTAAATATTTCAAAAGTGGTCAAGGTACATTCATAGTCGTAAATTATGATTGAAATCTCAAGTTGATTAAAATTTGTTTTTCTTTTGATAATCATAATTCTGAGAAGTAAAATATGTTATGTGATAGTTTACTCCTGAAGTTAACAAAAAATTTACTATAGTTCATCTCCTGTTGTTCAGGAAAATCTCCGGTGTACCAAAGAAGTTTTAGGATAATGAAAAAAGTAATGAAGTAGAAGATGACTGAAGATACCCTTAAATTATTTTAGATTTGAATCCAAGGTATATTCCAAAGAACGGACTAAATGGCAAATATGCCACTTTACAGGATATAAAAAAGTTTGTAAATATCAGTAAAACATTTTCCTGTTCAAAAGGTTTAGTTCAAAATTCTTTAGCATATTTATTTATTTATTATAAATTTATTTATAATAAATATTTATTATAAATTTATTATTATTAATTAATTAATTAGACTTATATACCGCTTCATAGGGCTTTTAGCCCTCTCTAAGCGGTTTACAAATTTTTTAAGCAAATTGAGTCAGCAATTTGCCCCCACAGTCCAGGTCCTCATTTCACCCACCTCAGATAGATGGAAGGCCGAGTCAACCTTGAGCCGGTGAGATTTGAACTGCAGATCACAGTCAGCTAAAGTGGCCTGCAGTACTGCACACTAAC